AATAAATATGCTTGTATTTTTCGCTTCAGGCTCTGACGCCAAAATAATGAATTTCGTAGTCGCAATCGCAAGATTTGGCTGCGTTTCTGGCGCATGCCGTTCAATTGTGGCGCAAAATAATGTAAACAGTGTCATTTCTCTAGGCACTATGTACCCCCGAATTAGAATCTAATTAATTCTAAACCGAATTAACTCTAATTCAAATTAGAATCCTTACAACCAAGCAACGACAAGGCGATAACATGAACAAAAACCCAAGCGTCGCTGTTTGAAACAAAAGCGCCATATACTGCGACTTTTTATAGAGAAGGACAACGCATTTCGGTGGGTGTTACAAGTACTGCAAGTACTGCTTCTTTTTTGCAAAAATAAAAACCTTTTTCACATACGAAAATGTGCTAGGAAATTTTCATATTTTATAGAAACTACAGTAGAAATAGTATAGATGTCGAGTAATCTTTATTAAAGAAAAAAGAAAGCTCATTATCTCCCTTTAATAAGAGCAATAGTATGTACAAACCTTTATCTCAGAATTTTGATATCGGTGACCTAAGGTCAGGTTAATTTTGCGACCTCTTCATTATAAGTCAATGGGACAAAATTGAAAGGCGCCTCTTTTGAACGAAAGCCGTCATAAACACTCAAACACTGAAATACAAGTAACTTTGACACATTAAACATGAAAATGGTACCTGTGAACCCTGCTTACCTATGCCCTTGAGGTCATCTCAGGTAACGAATGGTATCTAACAGTTTTTTTTTCGCGGACAACTTATGATAGAGGTTCGCTAGAGCAATGAAGACGCCTTAGATGTGCTCGGCTCGACAAAACGGATCGACTGATATGCAGCATGCCCCTTTTGTGACCTGACCTTGACCTGGGGTCAGATGTTCAAGTTGACCTTTCAAGGTCTGGTCAATTATAGTTCATTCGATGCGTCTTGAACACGATGCCGGTAAAGGAAAGTTCGTGCAAGGCTTAAGTCAAAAGCTATTGCAGAAAAAAAAAACTGATTCCGGAAAAATCGGCTACTTATTTTGGCAGTTTTCCCCCCTGCAGGTCAAAACCTTTGACGCTAGCTCAAATTTGAGAACAACACTCAGAAAAAAAGCATTAATAGCGCCATCGAATGCGCTTTTTCCGTGGCGCTGTAGCTCTATTGGTTTCCGAGTTATGCGTTGGGTTCTTGGAAATTGTCCACATACGACCTAAAAATCGGTGAAATTTTGCCTTCAATGACCTCTGGTGAGCTGACCTTTGACCTGACCAAAAAAGTGACCGAATTGTTTTCTTCATTATTTTTGGCGCTCTTTCGAACGCCGTCTTTCGCGTATCGCTACGTGGCCCAGGAGCCGAGTTAAGGGGGGGGGGGGTGTTCGTTCAATCCCCCCCCCCAGCAGGGCGTGGAAATCCAGGACCCCCAGCGGGGCGTGGGTTAATCTGCTGTTCCTTTATATCATTTGCTCCATTATAGTTTATATTAAAATAGAATCAAAAGATATGTTTATCCGTATTGCCATATTTTCAAACACCTAACATTTAACACTTTTTACATTTTTACACCCAACATTTTAAATGTTTAGGTATTTCACGTTCGTGGTGTCTTGGGTGGGAAGGACCTGTCATTGCCGGTGCGAATACCTACCTAATAATATATATTTTTAGAAATGTTTACAAATATTGAGTAGAATAATAGAAAGTAAGCTGCCCAACACATTCCTCGCAACGACGATCAGGTCAGAGCCCGTCAGGTCACGAAGGAGGTCGAAGGAGGCCATGTCGCATATCATTCGATTTCGCAGGTCTTCCCGAGTCCATTGGTAGCTTTCCCGATTCACCAGCTCAATCTGGTCGGGAGCTATTGACGAAAACTGATTTGTCCTTAGTGACGTCATAAATGACGTCACCCAAAGTCAATATTGCAAAAGTGAAGCATCAGACCTTCAAAGTATTGCAGAAAAATCACGCTTATGTCTGCTTGAGATAGTTTAGATGATTCCCGGCGCCAAAATAATATTTTTCCTTACTTCTCCCATTGATCTCAACTGAGGCCAGTTTTACCAACAGAATGATAGCCGCCTGCTGGAATTTTTTGCCTAAAGGCCGTTTCGCATACGCTATCCTACGCGGAAGCCCTTTCCGCTTTACGTTACGAAAGCCCTAGCCACTTATGTATCGCGTTTACGCTCCGTATGTGAAGCGGCCTTCAGGCAAAAAATTCCGGCAGGTGGCTATTTTTCTGTTGGTAGAACTGGCCTCTGAACGGGAAAGTGCGAGGGCCGAAAATATCTAACAAATCGAGAATGCGAGTCCAGCTTGATATCTGTAGTACCTAAGCTCATGTAGGAACCCTGAACCGTGAAATGACTGGAATGGGTCATGGATGGTCGGTGCCCGTGGTATCTATACCGAACAGGCAATTGATTCTCAGGTATTAGGTTTTAAGCTCAAACCAGCAACCACACAGGCTCGAGCCTTGTTATGCGATTCCCATTGTTTGTGTCTCCGCGTGTGGCTGCTAGCCGGACACTCGGTCTGCCTGCTAACCGCCCCACTACCGCCCCGCTCCGGCAGTCGCTCTCAGAATAGCGCCCGGGGTAGCGACTCGCCATGGCGGCAGGAGGGCACGTTTCGGCTCCCGGTGTGGCTAGTCCGGTAGGAACTGGGTCCGACAGGCGCACCCTGAGCGGGGCCACCCGCTGGAGAGCGAGTGGGGTATAAATAAACCCGGCCATGCAGCGCCAGCCGCCCTCGCCCTCGCCCCCGCCCCTGGCCACGGCCCGCGCCGCTCTGCCTTGCGGGGTGTCGACTGGAAAGGGGTGCGCCGAGTGCTGAGCTATCAGACGCAGCCACCGTTTGCCCTGTACTCTAGAGTCTGAGACAGGCACATCACACCTGCCCACGCCGCGCCCGGGTGCCTAGAGGCGCCTGTCAGAGCTGACAGGCGGCTTTATTGGCATCAGTCGCCGACAGTCGCCGCTGTTCGGGGCTCGGTGTCCGGCCTTTGGCGGATCTGACCAGCTCGCTGATCGCCGAGGATGAGGGTGACAGGTGGAACGCTGGCTGTTGGTCACGGTGGCTGCCAAAGATGCCTCTCTGGGAGGTTTGGCTCGTGTCAACAGATAGTGACGTCCGAGGCGCCGAGCTAGCCGAGTGCCCTGACACCTGGTGGTTGGGGATGGAACTGACGGTTCCAGCGCCGTTCGTTTTGTTAGGAGCAAGCTCTATTGGTCTAACAAGACCATCTCCGAGCTTTTGCACAAATGGTTAGGAAAGCCTTTGGACATTGAGCAGAAGGGACCCGCGACTGGCGCGACTTTACAGTGACAGAATTTGTCCCGGTGGGACAGTTGAGCTGTGTCCCGTTGAGGTAAGCCACTCGGCTTCCTTTATACGGTCACCCCGGAAAGGCTGCACTCAATGGGCTGACCTCGCCACACCGGTTGTTTGGTCCCCCTCTGACCTACCCTCAAGGCGCACAAATCCTTCTCCGCGCCTCAAACCCTCTGCTCCTTGCCAGGCGGTCACCTTCATCCGACGTGAGTAGCTTTCCAGCACAGGCTCTCGCGCGGTGAGCTGGGTGCTTGCGAAGCTGGGCATGGCCAGTCTACAGTCTACTCCCATTTGGTTAGTGAAAAGTGGCCGGATCACTAGGAAAATAGCTAACATTTTTTACAGTGTATAGTTACGAGGAATGATCAGTCTCTGCGGTGCACCAGGGTGGCCTCCGAGACCAACGTCTCTCCCTAATTCCGGTCATCCTTTCGGCTATAAAAAGTCTCAATTTGGGGCCTCACCTAACAGAACAAGACCAAAGATCAGCCCGGGCAAAGTAGTTCAGGATGCGAATGGGCGGATCCTTAGAAAAAGGACAGATGTCAGCTTGGTTCTTAAGGATCCATTATTGCAGCAGCAGGAATACCCTGGTAGCATGCATATTAACGGGCTAATAAGTACAAACGTAACCTCATGTCATAGGACTGTTGGGACTGGGCTGACCCTAGTCGGGACTGAAAGTTTGGTGGGGGGCAAAGGTCAAGCCTGGAACTCACAAAATCGAGTCTTCTTGAGGAGGGGGGGGGGGGGAGGTGGAGGGGAGGCATCGCCTACATAGGCATGGGCCCCCACCCCAGCGCCCGACTTCGGTTCCTATTGCTTCTACTCGTACGCAAAATGTATTCAACAAATAAAGGCACAAAGGACGAAAGCAGGCAGTATGCACTTTCAGCAAATGCACTTAGGATATGAAGCACAAATGAAAATAGTGCGTCACTAATGCTTGTCGGAAAAGTTCGTTAGCCGTAATGCAAGTGCGCACCTATAACTACAATAACATTGCAGTCTACAGCCTACACGACCATTGGCAGATCGATAAAATAAATGTAAACAACGTCGATGGGACAGGGAGGCGGAATATTCTAATGAAAATAGACGCAGCGAGGTTATGCCTATAGGCACTCTCGTCGAACACCTGGGACAGGTATGTGTAGGCATTAAGTGTTACTTGAACTAATTTCTCCTGTCGGCCACTATCACAAGAACAAGAAGAAAAAAATACAAAACAACAAAACGAAGCGTTGAAGGAGCTCGAGAACTAATTTATCCTGTCGGCCACCATCACAAAAATGGCCTTGACAAGAACAAGAAGGAAAAAAGCAAAACAACATGAAACGAAGCGTTGCAATGGCGGATCCAGGGGGTGGGCAAAATGGGCATTTGCCCCTCCCAAACGGCATAATTTTAACATTACGCCTATGGACGAGGCATGGAAAGAATCGATAAATTGTTATGGTTTGCCCCCCCCCCCCCCAACTCTGAGGTGGATCCGCCTCTGAAGCGTTGAAGGAGCTCGAGCATAATTTTTAACCATACCTTAGTAGGATCGTCACCCGTCAGTCACCGCCTCTTCAGTCCTAAATCGCCATGAAGCCGTAATATTTTTTCTTTTCTTTTTAGCTCAATAAACCCAAGATTACTTTACTACTCAATAAACCATAGGTAAGGGATATGCGCCTTCTACCTTTATTATTTTATCACTGAGTGTTTTGTAAAAAGAAAAAAAAAAACACACACACACATGCAGGAAAAGGTGGTTTAAAAGAGCACTTATCTCCCTTACACATACACGACGCGCGAACTACAGTGAACATGGCAGGGAACAATGAACAACAAACATCTGTTCAGTCTTGCACCACCTTCCTGTTTCTGCGCCACATCTGCCGCCCTTTCCTGACACAAGCCGTCCACAGGGCGTGCACTGCGACCTCGCAGACTAGCACGGCAGCCGAAGAGACCAGGCCGTAGCCGACCACCAGGAACACGTTGCGCAGGTTCTCCGTACCGAGGAAGGTCTTCTGAAGGGGCGCCAGGGTGTGCTCGGGACACACCATGTCGTACGGGCGGCGCGTCTGCCAGCGGCGCATCTCGCGGCTCACCACGCCCCGGTCCAGCAGCTGCGGAATCAGGAAGTTGAACAGATGTCGGTACGCAAAGCTGGGGCTGAACGAGAGCGACACGGGCATGTGGACGAGCGTGCCGGGCCACAGGCAGACCTCGCATGGCTCGTGGCGGCCCAGCTGCGTGCAGTTGGAGTCGACCTCGGCGCGCGAGCTGGTGGTGATGCGGAAGTTGCGGCCCTCCGTGGGGTCGCCGGAGGTGCGCGGCAGCTGGCTCATCCTCCTCCCGAACAGCGGCTGCACGACCATCTCCTCCATGGCCAGGCCGACGTCGTCATCGGTCACCTTCCAGCCCTGATCGAGCGCCTCCTGCAGACTGTCGAACGGCATAACGCGCCGCGAGAGCGCCATGTCGGCGAGCAGGTTTCCCGAGTAGCAGGCCGTGATGAACAGCGAGAACAGGTAGAGCGCCGTGATGGCCACGCGGTACGAGTGGGCGGCGTCCGAGCGGACCGCGGCGCTCTGCTGGCACGTCACGGCAAACACGGTCAGCGCCCAGAACGAGACGTTGGTCTCATCAGCGGGTTCATCGAGCGAGCTGCGCAGTCGCTGCTGGCAGCGCGCGATCAGGCAGAGCACCAGCACGGCCGCCAACTGGGTGAGCACCAGCGCGCGCCACGCGCCACTCGTCAGCGGCTGGCCGACGCGGAAGTCGCTCAGCGTCCTGGTGTACTTGCTGGCGATGGCGACGCCAGCCAGCTCCGCCTGGAGCGGGTGCGAGAAGACCACCAGCGAGAGCCGGTTGAGGCTGTAGGTGAGCCGTCCGGCGGTCATCTCGCCGCGGCCCTGGTTCAGCTCGTACACGATCCGGTCCCAGGCGGTGGTGTTGTGGTCGGGTCCGACCGGGTGCAGCGAGTAGGAGAAGCCGAGGATCTCCTGCAAGAGCAGGATCAGTGAGCCGATCAGACCGCCCTTGATTCGACCCTCCTCGTGCACCACACCCATCAGCGCTGTGCTGGTTTCCTGGCTCGTCTTCCAGGGCTCGTTGGCGTACAGCAGTCGCAGGTGGACGCCGCGCATGGCGCCCCGGCTGGCCGTGATGCCGTCCACCTCGCGCTGCTGCACGTACCGAGCGCCGCGACACTCGCCGCGCGCCCACCACTCGCGGTGGTAGTCGCGCGCGCTGTGGAAGCGCGTCGTGCCGTTGCCGTCGATCATGTAGGCGTGTCGGGGGGCGTACCCGCGGAGGAAGTGGGCGTCCCGGCGGCCCGAGAGCGACACCAGCAGCCAGCGGCGGCCGTCGTCGCCGCGCACCTGCTCGAAGAGCCGGCTGGTGCTGGCCGAGTCCGTCTCCGGCACGAACCAGACCACCTGCGGAGCGGAGGTGGGCCCCGCCTCGCCTCGCAGGGACGCGGCCGGACTGGAGTGCAGCAGCCGGGCGAACAGCAGGCGACTGGAGAGCAGACCCAGCAGCAGAGACCGCTCAGAGTCTGGGGGCAAGCAGGACAGCATTTGAGCTACCAGTACGCCGCTACGCCAATTCCGCAAGACCTTCAAAATGGAAGTGTTGGTTAAAGCACAAATGAAGCAATTAGCAACACAAAACGTAGAATGGGTGGCTATTAACAAAAACGACATCCGTGGCTTCACGTATCCCGCGGCCCGCGCACTGTTTCCGTGGATATTGGCCCGTCTGATTTTTCCAGGAGCTTAAAATGGCAGCGCTAATAATTGGGCTTAACTGTTCCAACCCCGTGTGCCTGCAAAGGCCAGGCCACGATCGTCCCGTCACCAGGTTACTTACAATATGGCCTTTCCTGGAAACTTGTTTTGCTCTGTTTGGTATCTTATCTTGGCTACAATTGTTGATAGATGACTTCGAAGCTTACAGATCGTAATAAAGTTATCACTGCCCAGTGCTCACTGGCTGCGATTTGTATGGCGAGGCTGGTTGCTGTTTTTTATTGGTGGCTGTTTTTTTTTTGACCGACCTTGACCGAAGTGGTACGCATTTTCTTTTTTTTTTTTGGAACACTAAACATATAAGAGATAAAAAAGAAAAGTGATGTAGGTACATGTCTTTTCATTCAAAGCAGATCTTCTATCGCCAATCAAATTTTCAAGTCGGGTCAGGTCACTGACTAGCGATGTCACACGTGAACCTCTGTACGGTCTGAATAAACGTCGCGATGTTTATTTCACAATCTCGTAACGATCTCGTTGTCACGGAATATTTCGCATCGTCAGGGTGAGTGAACTTCGGAAAGTAGCAAATACCCGAATCCTTTAAACCGGCGCCCCGTTGGGGGTCCTGGATTTCCACGCCCTGCAAGGGGGGGCATGTTTGTACACCCCCTTCTAGCTCGGCTCCTGGGCCACGTAGCGTTACGCGGAAGACGGCTTTCGAAAGAGGGCCAAAAATAATGACGAAATCACTTCGGTCACTTTTTTGGTCAGGTCAAAGTTCAGGTCGCCAGAGATCATTGAAGGCAAAATTTCGCCGATTTTAATAAGGCCGAATGTCGACAATTTCCAAGAAGCCAACGCATAACTCGAGAACCACTAGAGCTACAGCGCCGCAGAAAAACGCATTCGATAGCCCTATTAACGCCCTTTCTGAATAATTCTCTCAGATTGGACCTTACGTCAATGGTTTTGCCTGCAGGGGGCAAAAACTGCAAAAAAAAAACGATTTATTCGGGAGCAATTTTTCTGCAATAACCTTTGACCTAAGCCTTCCACGAGGTTACTTTTACCGTCATCGTGTTCCTCTCGTCAAGACGCATCGAATGAACTATAATTTGACCTTGAAAGGTCAACTTGAAAATTTGACCGCAGTCGATCCGCATCGTCGAGCTTAGCACAGCTAAGGCGTTTTTATCGCCCCAGCATGCCTCTATAAAAAGTTATTTGCGAAAAACTTTTAGATACCAATCGTGACCTAAGATGACCTCAGGGGCATAAACAGGGGGTCACGGACACCATTTTCATGTTCAGTGTGTCTAAGTTACTTGTACCTAATTTAATGTTTGGGAGTGTTTATAATGGCTTTCGTCCAAAAGCGGCGCATTTCAGTTTTCTCCCATTGACGTAGGGTAGCCTGGGGCAAGACGCCCCAGATAATTTATTTTGCCGCATAAATTTTGTCCCAAATCACCTGGAAGACCAAATTTGTGCTCAATGCGTTCTTTGGACATTTTACTTTAAATTGCACCCCTCAAATTCATTCACTTGTGATCGGACTCCAAGCTAGGAAGTGATTTGTGAAGCAACTGCAAATGGGGCATTTTGCCCCAACCCCAGGGCAAAACGCCCCACGGCATGGGGCAAGTAGCCCCATACTTTAGATTACAGATTTAACGTGGTAGTTGGCTAAATCTTATGTGAGAGGTCCGTTACACCTCTGAGGGCACGGCGCTGAAGTTACCACTTTCCATTCTGTCAGGTGTTCAGCTATGACACTATTGTATGAGCAGGTTTTTCACCTGCCTCATAAGACCAAATAATAAATTATTGCAATGCAAATGTTTACAGAATACTTCCTTTGCCATCCAGTTGCTGGGAAAAATACACATAAAGGCATAGAAACTTACTGTTCGCCAGCTACCGAACATTAGAAAGTGGGTAGCCCGAACAACACATGAGGTAAAACGCCCCATGGGCTTTTTGCCCCGTGACCTACTGGGGCGTTTTACCCCATCACGTAGTTGGGTCAGAGAACAACGCTTTGCACTCCAGCAAGACATAATTGAACACGAACCAACCCGGCATGATAAGCGTTAGACAATAGTTGTTCAAAATACATAAAAGTCGTTAACCTGATGTGGCCCATAAAAGGACGCCATGATGCATAATCTGACAACAAAACATAAAAATCACTCAAAAAACACATTTTTGGCTATGTCTCCCGAAAGAGTCATCACAATTTCTTTCCAGTCTGCTCATATAATGATCATATATGTGCAGTTTTATAGAAGAGAGGATGTTTCCCCAGAACTCTGCCAGTTCCGAGAAACATCGGCGAGGCGTTTTACCTCGGCGGGGCGACTTGCCCCGGTCTACCCTATGATTGGGGAGGTCGCAAAATTGACCTGACCTTAGGTCATCGATATCAAATTTCTGAGATATACCTTTTGTATATGCTATAGCTCTTAGCAATCGCTGAAAGTTTCAAAGCGATCGGTCACTCGGTGTAGCTATGGCAGACATTGAAACTTTTTATGAGGTGAGGTCACTTCAAGTGACCTGGTGACCTGACCTTGAATGACCGTGGTCTGAAATTTTCACATGTGTAGAATTGATGTATGATAAGGTGTGCCAAAAACGGCGGCGCTCCGCACCACTGTTTTTGGGATATTTGCGAAAAACCACAGGCAGGGGGGGTTACAACCCCCAGCAGATTTTTGAGATATTTGCAAAAAAAAAAAACACAGGCAGGGGGGGTTCAAACACCCAGGGGCGGATCCAGGAAAACTCCAAGGGGAGGGTCATGAATCGAAGTGGTGCCCCTACCTATACCCAAAATCAAAAACTCAACGGATTTCGTCCACTTCATTTTGGTGGTGCCCCCATTTTCAGTTTTTTATTTTTATTTTTTATTTTTAGTCAGTATCTTACCTCTTAGCCACAACCACATTTACCAATTGTAAGCAAGTATATATGAATGTGCTATGTGTATATATGTTGTGGACGCTGAGTAATGAGTACTTACCAGGAACGTTATCAGGTAAGCAAATCGTTGTCAGTCCGACGAACTTGACCCTGGCGTCTAAAGGGTCTGTCCTTGACACTTCAGGCTTGTCAGGGGCACCAAAGTTCTTCCAGGGACACCACAAACCTGTCAGGGGCACCTACGGCCTTGTAGGGGCGCCACAGGCCCGCCAGGGGCACCACAGGCCTGCCAGGAAGCAGGGGCACCACAGGTCGTATACACGACAGGCCTGTCAGGGGCACAACGGGCCTGTTGGGCCCATGAGCACCCCTAGGGGCAGGGGCACCACAGTCCTTCCAGGGGCACCGCAGGCCTGTGAGGGGCACCAGCGGCCTAGCAGGGGCACCAGTCAACACAGGCCTGCCAGGGGCACCACAGACCTGCCAGGGGCACCAGAGGCCTGCCAGGAGCACCACCGACCTCGCAGGGGTAACTTGGGCCTGTCAGGGCCCAGGGGCACCACGGGCCTGTCGAGAGGCACTTCAGGCTTTTCAGGGGCACCATAGTCCTCTCAGGGCGCAGGGGTAGCAGGGGCACCAGAGGCCTGCCAGGGGCACTACAGGCCTAGCAAGGGCACCACTGGTCTATCAGGGGCACCACGAGCCTGTCATAGCCAGGCATCTCAGGCTTGTCAAGGCCCAGGGGCACCACAGGTCTGTGAGGGGCACCGGCGACCTAGCAGGGGCACCAGTCAACACAGGTCTGCCAGGGGCGCCACAGACCTGCCAGGGGCACCACAGACCTGCCAGGGGCACCAGAGGCCTGCCAGGGGCACCACCGGCCTCGCAGGGGCACCTTGGGCCTGTCAGGGGCACGACGGGCCTGCCGAGGGGCACTTCAGACTTTTCAGGGGCACCAGTCCTCTCCGGGCGCAGGGGCACCAGAGGCCTGCCAGGGGCACCAGCGGCCTAGCAAGGGCACCAGAGGCCTGCCAGGGGCACCACAGGCCTAACAAGGGCACCACGGGCCTGTCAGGGGCACCTCAGGCTTGTCAGGGGCACCTCAGGCTTGTCAGGGCCCAGGGACACCACAGTCCTTCCAAGGGCACCGCAAGCCTGTCAGGGGCACCAGAGGCCTGCCAGGGGCACCACAGGCCTAGCAAGGGCACCTCTGGCCTGTCAGGGGCACCTCAGGCTTGTCAGGGCCCAGGGGCACCACAGTCCTTCCAGGGGCATTACAAGCCTGTCAGGGGCACCAGAGGCCTAGCAAGGGCACCACAGGCCTGCCATGGACACCACAGGCCTGCCAGGGGCACCACCAGCCTTGCAGGGGCGCCTCAGGCCTGTCAGGGGCACCACGTGCCTGTCGGGGACACTTCAGGCTTGTCAGGGGCGTTACAGTCCTGTCAGGGCCCAGGGGCACCAGGCCCGTGGTGTCCCTGCTAGGCCTGTGGTGCCCCTGGCGGTCCTGTGGTGCCCCTGTCAGGACTGTGATACCCCTGATAGGCCGGTGGTGCCCCTGGAAGGTCTTTGGGCCCCCGGGCCTCAAGGGGGGGGGGCCATGACCCATGTGACCCCCCCTTGGATCCGCCCCTGCAAACACCCCCCCCCCAGCAGGGCGCGGGTTAACGTGCACATTTCGTTTTGCTCATCGAGCTTCAGCTGAGGTCAGGTTGGTCACGTGACCTTCCCAGACTCCATCATAACTAGGTATGGGAATTTCGGAAACAGCTCATTTAGCGCCGGAAGTGATTAAATTTTATCTCAAACATGAGTAGTCGTGATTTTACGCCCCACTTAAAAATGATGTTTTTATTTTTAACCTTGTTTAACCTTATATGTGACGTTACTGAGGTCTTCACCCTCGCCAGGCCAGGGTGTTGATGCAAACCCCTAAGGTTTTTTTTCGCAAAATTAAAACGGCGGTGCTAGCGCCACCACCACTATAAATGAGCTAGTGGGTCGAGAAAGGCACCAGATATTCAGAATAAGCTTCCGAAGCGTGTGATATACAACATGACCCCTTTTGACCACCTACCTGGCCTGACTGGCCTTGGCCTAGCCTTGACCTGAGGTTAGGTTAACCCGCGCCCCGTTGGGGTCTGTCGAGCAACGCTGGGGGGGGGGGGCGCATTTTGGCCCCCCTAAGATCTCAAGAACCACGCAACATAGCGACAAGCAGCAGACGGCGTTGGATAGCCCTAACCTTGTAACCAAATTTCATTGACCTCGGTCAAACCAATGACCTCAAAGATCAGGTCAAATGTCGAATTTTAACCGTTTACAGGCATTTCAAGGAATGTTTTGTAAAATCGAATAAAATGCATGTCATTGAAAATCATCGATGGGGAATTGTTCGTTAAACACATATTATGCTATTTGAGGTCACTGCTACCAGGTCAGGTCACAGAGGTTAGGTCACTGAGGTTCACAATATGAAAATATTATGTGATGCATGTTTTATGGTCCATCTTACATGAAAATGCGATTATGTGGGTCAGGCAACCTTTTTGGCCAGTTGAGGTTGCGTTCTGGTCAAGGTCAGGTCAACTTAGGTCAAATTTCAAACCTGATATTTTTGCATAAAATGGGTATCGATTCGATGCAGCTCGTCATGAGGAGTCTAATGGTGTTCTTTGTATAGCGCTACAAGGTCTTAAGTTGCTAAAATTTGAGTTAAAAATTTGACATTATCAATTTTGAACAGTTTTTTTCGCTATACCTAACTTTGCCAAAAATGGAGGTATCGATCCAAAATTTAGCATTTGGTATGTAGATAGAAGAGTGCAGGGACTATCATTTATATTCCGTTTTTCGAAATTCGAAAAAAAGCTTTGGGGATTTTTTTTTGCTATTTTATAAAAAAGATCATTTTTCTTTTTTGGGGTGTCAAAATCACAAAAGTTTGAAAATCTGAGATAGCAGTTTAGTTGCGCCGTTTTTTCTCTACGCGACCACACCAATGATTTTGAAATTGCTTATTAACTGTAGCTTTTGTGAGCGTTTCAAGATTTCATGTTTTTTTGCTCATTTTTGCTCGAACATGACCTCAGTTTGACCTCAATAACTCCTGACCTAAGGTGAGCTAAGACTTGAAATTTTGTGTGAAGGTGTCAAATTGATGCCCGGGAAGATAAGTAGGTACTGAAAATTTGGCGGCGCTGCGCGCCGCTGTTTTCGACACGGCTGAACATGACAAATGCCCCCAACTTTACCCAAAACTGACTTTTGGGACGTTGACCTGACGTCATATATTTATGATTGACCTTAACCTTGAAATGGGTAGGTCGTTGTGTCTCGTAACTTCAAATACGCAACACCAACACGTTTTCGCAAAGTTCTAGTTCAGTTTAGGATCGAAACGGTAAACGGTCATGCAATTGCAGACCAACCCTCGACCTCGGCCAGTGCAGATATATGTGGAAAACTTATTTCCCCTTCACTTATGCCGTTCGGTTGAGTAGGCTTAGTCGAGTTTGGGTTATAACAATAACTTTAGATGGTGCCACTTACCTGATAATTGAATTTCGACGTAGATATCTATTGCGTTTCTATCTCTTTGATCTAAGTAGTCCACCATGCAGCCAAGCTGGTCTCGAAAGTTTTCAACAATTTGTTTCGTTTTAGTTGGAATCGATAAACTTAATAGAACCACCAGGCACAAGTGGGAACGAAGCCTTGATCTTAGCATTGTTAGTTACTATAAGCAACTCAACTCAAATAAAATTAGCTGTGAAGCAAATACGAACGGAATTTTGAGAGGCCTTCGTAGTAAATTTTGAGTTTCTTGAGATCGGCCAGGTGCAGAGGCAGGAAGCGCCGGCCTGCACGCTGCGGTGTCCAACCCCTGACTCGCTATACGGCTTCGGGAGCACCACGGCGTACAACTTATACCGTCACACCGACCCTTCCATCGGGATTAATGCACTGTTTGCTCTGCCGCGTGCCGTCGTGCTGAGGGCCGCGCATAAAGAGCAGCGTCCCCTCAGTCCGTCTCGGCCGACGGCTCCCGCTGTTACTCGCACAAGAGCTCGCTGTTGGTCTGACAGGCATAGGAAGCATTCTGCCTCTGAATGATCAATCGGTGTACACAGGCGGTGTCCGCGGGTCCGCGGAGTGGTCGGTGCTTCAGCCACTCCACTAAGTGGCGCAGCTAGTGTCGATGAGTACCTACCACACTACACTCGAACTACGCCACGGAAAAATTCAGCCGTTTCCAAGGGCTTTGTTTGCAGAGGGGAGCTGTTCTCCATATTGATAGGTAGGTATGCATTAAATGTTCAGAAATTCTGGAGATTCATGATGCCTGCATATATTAGTCAAGAACAAAGAGTTTCTGTTTTATGGTTGTGAAATTGGGACCATTCATTGCCGTATAGGAACTCGTGACATTGAACAGCGACGCTTTATTCGATTCTGAACGGATTTCAAAGATTTCAACAGCTTTTAAAATTTTGTTGGTTAATTGCAAGGCCATTAGTGGTCATTGGTAGGACATGTAGGACGGTTATTGCTAGGAGACATGTACAGTTATTAAACAAAATAGAAATACCATAGCTTACAACTACCATTCTATTTCGGGAGAACTGGGTACTATGGCAGTGTCAACAGTGAGCCGGACACGCCGGGAGTGGCCGGGATGTCACGTGCCCACGGTGTGGACTCCTGTTCACGCGACGGTGTGCACTGTTGCTAACCGAAGCCGATACGAGTCGAGAGCAAACACCGAACGTAGTAGACGACAAATTAGGGAACGTTGCTGACACGATGGAAGCATGTGATTTGACCATGACCGAACATCCGCTAAGCGCGTGACCGGAGTTTCCGTCATACTCAACAGTTTTATTGATATTATCGGTTTCTTTTTATTCACCAAAATGGAATAGATGCGTAATGATTTTGCCGTCGACCCGCGCGCCCTTTCACTCCAACAAACAACTCACAAAATGTAAGGAAGAGTTGCGCTGCGCCTTGCGAAAAGGTATAGGTGGCCTTATTAAATGTTGCATCACTTGTCCGCCTATGTCTAAAGCCGTTTCCTGCTTGTTGCTAGCTTCCTTTGTTTCCGAGATCTTTGGGGGGGGGGGGGTCCACTCTGGGTTCCGGACAAAATATCGAAAAGCAAAATATCGAATAGCAAAATATCGAAGACAAATTATCGAAGTGGCAGAATATCGAAAGCAAAATATCGAATGCGCAAAATATCGAAATCGCAAAATATCGAACCGCAAAATATCGACATCGCAAAATATCGACATTGCAAAATATCGAATTGCATAATATCGAATTGCAAAATATCGGACTCGCAAAATATCGAATAGCATAATATCGAAAGCGAAATATCGAAACGCAAAATATCGAAAGACAAAATATTGAAAGACAAAATATCGAAAGACAAAACATGGAAAGACAAAATATCGAAAGACAAAATATCGAAAAGGTAAAATATCGAACGCAGCATATCGAAAAGACAAAATATCGAACGCAAAATATCGAACAGACAAAATATCGAAAGGCAAAATATCGGAAAGGCAAAATATGGAACGCAGAATATCGAAAAGACAAAATATCGAACGCAAAATATCGAACAGACAAAATATCGAACAGACAAAATATCGGACGCAAAATATCGAAAAGGCAGAATATCGAACGCATAATATCGAAAAGGCAAAATATCGAACGCAAAATATCGAAATGACAAAATAACGAACGTAAAGCGTCGAAAAAGTAAAATATCGACTTCAAATGGCCCTCTGCGGACTCCTTGAAGCTCTGTCGAACTCTGTCGAAATTAGGTTTCGCTCGACAGATCTTCCGGGGCTATCAAACATAGGCGGATCCAACCCAGAGTTTTCGGAGGGTCTCGGAGGGTCTCAAATCAACGCAGGCAGGTGTCAGGGGACATGCTGGCCTCTAAGGGCTCCGCAAAGAGTTCAGATTCAGAGGGCACTCAGAACGACCTTTGTGGGCCCTACGAAGGTCTCCGAGAGCTCACGCAGACTCCTGGAATTTCACACTGATTCTCAGGCCAAATGTCGGCTTGTTGAATCACTTTATCCGCTCTTGGTTCCCCTTTCGCCGGCCTCTGAGAGTCCCAACGCCGGAACTTATGGGGCCATGGGCCCTACACCGGCTTTTAGGGCCCCTACATCGACTCTTGGGACTCATGACTCATTATATATGGGTCTAAGCGGCTTCTAAGAATCCCCATGCAGGTTCTAGTAGCCGCCAGTCGAATATTTGGGCTCACACGCTAGCTCCCACCTCGCTAGCGCACGGGGTCCCACCCCGTGCACGCTCCAGGGGCCTTCCTGCCTCTAAGACCCCACACATACTTTTGGGGCCCCAAACGCTTGCTCCTGAAGGCCCCACTGAGACTCCTAGTCCTTTCCTCTATTCAGTCCTCCATACTGGCTTTTTAGGCTAAACATCGGCTCCTGGCGGCCATCCCGGCTTTGGAGGGTCTCCATACAGGCTTTTTTGGGTCCGATGTCAGTCTCTGAGAGCCATCAAAAGCCTTTCGAGCCTACGAGTATACTGCTTTCTGAAACCCTTCAGCAACTTCTGAGGGACCGACCCTGGTCGGAGGGCTCATTCGGTCTGGGGAGTCATGTAGGTCTCTGGAGGAGCCTCTAAGGGGTCGGTTTCCAAGGGGCTTTTAAACACGGTCTTCTAAGAACGGTCTCGTAGGGCCTTTAACCCGCGCCCCGCTGGGCTATTCAACCATACGCGCCCTGCTGGGGGGGGGGGCAGATTCTGCCCCCCCCAGTCTAACTTCTGAACCGATGGTCGTAGAAAGACGGGGAAAACGGCAATCGAAAGCTCTCAACGAGGCGAATCTTAAGAGCCCAAATTTTTTTGCTTAAGTAGGTCAGAGGTCAGGTCAAGGTCAGGTCAAGGGTACAAAATGCAAGTTTCTACAGTATCGGCCTAGCACCGTAATTGCCGAAGAATGGACTGAGACTAATTAACCAAACGTGTTCTTAGGCTACCAAGACAATATTCGTTGCATACAATATCATTTTAAGGTCAAGGTCAAGGTCAGGTCAGGTCAGGTCAGGTCATCAAAAACAAAATATAGAAAAGGGCATGTGCAACACATGTTTTATGGGTCATTTTATTCATAGAATTCAATAGGCACACTCAATTAGTGATATGGACCACCTCTGGATGAATTTCAGGTCGAGGTCAGGTCAAGGTCAGGTCAAGTGAGGTCAAATTTTGAAATTGGTTGTTAACCCTCGCCCATGTAGGGGGGGGTTGGTGCAACCCCCCCCCCTGAGGTTTTTCGGAAATAGTGCAAAAACGGCGGCGCGCAGCGCCGCCAAATTTTGGGTACCTTATGGGGCAAACCTTGCGCATCTTTTGATAAAAAGAAATTGACCGGGTCATGTCAGGTCACGGAGTTATGACGTCACAAAGGGAACAGCCTCCGGCCGGATTTTCACAAACTGAGTGCCAACGCCCGAGGTTTCCTGCCGGTGGTACGGACATCGGTTGATGGATCGTGATGAAACTTCCCATGCATGTTGGGGCAAGTATTGGCTATCATATGGTATAAGAAACTTGACCGGGTCAGGTCAGGTCACGGAGCTATGACGTCACAAGAGGAACAGCGTCCGGTACTATTTTTGAAAAGCGCCCGAACCACTATTTTGCTAATTCTTGTCACCTCAATGGGAATATGCAGCAATATTAGCTTCTATAGGGAGCAAATGGACCTTCCAAATCCAAAAATACAATCAGATTTCAAAAATTTAAATTTTGATTTTTCGAATTTCTGCCGCCGACTGTGACCTTGCCGACTTCCGGCGCTCCCAACGCGCCATTTTTAGAGCTAGGGAAACGAAATACATACCAAACGATAGAGAATTGATCAAGGAACACGATAGTGAAGGTTTCAAGTCGATATCTTCCACCGTTTTGCCGCAATCGCCGCGGAAAGTTGAAAAAAGTCTATTTTTCCGAAAATTTGACCTTTGACCGGTCAAAAGTAGGTCAAATGTTGACCTAGGACCAAAAAATATACCACCAATCGCGAGATCTCGGCGAGAGCAATCCGTTGGTCTTTTCCGCTAAGCTCTACGACGCTCCGTTTTCAAACGCCAAGGGGGGGTCGCACCAACCCCCCCCCCCTGCATGGGCGAAGGTGGCAGATCGCCGTTTACGGGCGAGGGTTAAGGCCTAAAAAGATGTCTATCTGATGCAGTTTTTCACGGCGAGTCGAATGGTGCTATTTTTGTTTCCGTACGAGGTCTAGAACTTCTAAAAATTCATTTTTCGAAAATTTTCTGTGTCGTGACGTCATAAAATTTTGAATAACTCCCACATTTTTGAACTGATTCTTCTCAAAATTAGTATGTAGGTGCACATAGACCACTTCTCTGACCTATATTCTGGTTTTTTCGATACACTCAAAATTTTGGATTTTATAATTATTTTCCCAAAAAAGTCGGTTTTTTGAAAAATTATGGGCCAAAATCCAAAATTTTCAAAAAATCGAGATAGCCATTTGATAGACAAAGTAGAACCACGTATAACCTTTTTTGTTACGTCTTGATTCCTTTAAAAATGAAGATGTTAGCGGCGTTTGAAATTTTGCGATTTTTTAGGCGAAAATTGCGAACATGACGTCACTAAAACGTCATTTTCTCAAAAATTTTACAACGGATTTTGCTCAAATTTTCAGGGAACGTGTCAAATTGATGTATGATAAGGTACTGAAAGTTTGACGTCGCTGGCGTAACGCGTTTAGAAGTTATTGGCGAAAAACGGGAGGGGGCAGATTCTGCCCCCCCGCAGCGGGGCGCGGGTTAATGGCCCACTGCGGATCCAGAAAAGTGGGTTGAGATGCTGAGGGTAGTTGCTAGACT